AATGTCAGACTAATTCGAGAAATTACTTATTTGATAAAGCTACCTTTAGGAGAACAGTTTCATTAGCGAAAGACGATTATGAAGAAAAACGGTACAGCTATCTATCCAAGAGCGGCAACAAAAAAGCTCAATTCAGTATTTTCCGTAATGGTAAAGCTATTACAGCACCCGTAAATATTGGCTCAGTTATTTTTTCTCCAACTGAGTTGGAAGATGCATGGACTGAAATTGCATAAGGATTAGAGAAGAGATTTACATCACAAATTAAAATGACGTTTGCAAAACTTTCATTAGGAAATGATTTTTTTGAAGTAAGTGGGGATGAACTTGAGCACGTCGTTCGTATTCTGCCAAACACAGGTCCTGTACCAGATGGCATCACTTCAGAAATGTTAAAAATATTATTCGACATCTCTCCTGAAGACCTCTTTAACGATGTCAACTATTCACTTGAAGATAGTTTAATACCTCCTGACTGGATACTTGCAAAAATAATACCGCTTCTTAAAAAAAACAGGGACTAGGAATGCAGATAGATAACATTAGGCCAATCGCTTTAACATCACATGTAGTTAATAGAAAGAATACTTTACATTAGAGATACGGAGTTTATAACAAATAATGCAATACTCATTGCGTGCCAGATTGGATTTAGACGAGGTTACTCACTATGGTGGGCGCACGTTGATTTAGAGGCTCGTATAAAGCTTGCTCGCCACAGACGACAATATGTGGCCCTAGTTACCCTTGATTTAGCCAAGGCATATGATAGTGTTGAACATCTTATTCTTATCAATGCCTTAAAAGAGCTAACGTTTCCACAGTACATAAATTGACTATACGAATTTTTAAAAGGCAGAAAATTATATTGCTCCAAACAAGGTGTTTCCACACCGAAGCATAGCCAAACGAGAGGTGTTCCTCAAGGCTCTGTTCTATCGCCTGTGCTATTTAACAATTTGTTAGGTTCAATACCATTGAGTGATAAGGTACAAGTTTATGTATACGCAGATGATATTACGTTTTTTGCATCTGACTGTGATATTTATTTACCACATTCGACTTTACAGTTTTATTTGGCAACATTAGAAACTTGGTTTCAGAAAATTCATATGAATTTGAACGTAACTAAAAGTGCTATAATATTTTTTCATTGGACGTACCAGTTACTATTTCTCTTCAGTACCATCAAGAAACAATTCCCCAGGTTGACTGTATTAAATATCTAGGTGTACTGTACGATCAACAAGTGAGCTGGCGTGACTACATTGAGTATATTAAAAAATTAAGGGTACACGCGCTTTTGGGATGACAGGTAGGCTTGGCCGCCTCCATTCCGGTATTCGCAGAGATACGCTGATCATGATTTATCGCATGTACGTTCATGCGATTCTTCAATTCGAATGTGTACTATTATCTGGTGGACCAGCATACAAAATAAACACCCTGATTCTCTTAGGGAGGGAAGCTCTTCGTAGTTGTTTAGGTGTGCCAAAATTCACAGCTAAGAATGTTTGTATCAAGAAGCTCGGACACCCACCTTTGCTTGCAGATTCCTTATTTTAACAGTCAAAACCTATTTAAAATTCTATGAATCCACTTTAAGAAGGCGACAATTTGTATTCTTTGCCAAGCCTGGTATCTTTTTCAATGAGAATTGGTACCGTGTATTTAAACCCCAAGTGCTATTTGTTCAAACACTTCTAGATTTTTTAAACGCTAATGTATTCGAGATCACACCATCTGACAAACCAATCGGCCAAGTGCAAATAGAATTTGATGATATCTTCTCCATGAATGCTAAACACTTGCCCTCTAAATATTTGATTGGTTTATTAGAACAACACCTGTCTGAATTAGGTACTAATGTAGTAATTGCAACAGATGCATCTATTATTGGCAAAAATGCAGGCGTGGGTATTTTTTCTCTCTCATTATTCTGGTCATTTCCATTACGCCGCTCAGAATATACACCAATATTTGAAGCTGAATGAACGGACGTTATACTAGCTATTCGTAAACTTCCTGCGACTCATTCGACAGCTGTGATTGTGACTGACTCGTATTCCGTGTGTTCATTTTTATCATCGTCGTCGGCATCAACAATACTAGAAACTTTTAAATCATTAATCCCAGCAAACATTGGTCTAGTGCGAATAATATGGGTGCAAGGTCATCGTAGTATATTTATAAATGAGATGGCTGACATACTCGTGCGAACATCCCTTGATCTTCCGAATGTGCCAATCATGCCTCCTACAGCTTATGTAACAGCAGCGAGGTTTACAAAACTTTCTCTTCTTGAAGACTCATAAAAAATCACGATACCGAATCCAAACTTCTCGCACCTGCACTTCGCATGGAATAATAAATGGTGTCCCACGCGTAAACTTGAAGTCTCTATAACAAAATTACGTTGCCGCGTACCACCGCCTAATTTCTACATAAACAGGTCTGGTTTGGTGCCATCCCCTCTGTGCTCAAGCTGTAACGAACATGAACGTATCGTCCATTTTCTTATCACATGTCACCGTTTCAAAAATAAAAAAATTGCTTCAAAGTTTTATTAAAAAAACTAGGAATATCACTTACTACTCCTAATATTTTGTCTTTTGGAGCCGCTTCATTGGGACACAACGACAGGAACATCTGCGGGACTCTCTGTGAATTCCTATATAACACAAGAAGATTACCTTGCTGAGCCATTGATCAGCTCTCGAATTTTACTAACCAAGCTACCATTTATTATTTGGCTGTTACACTGCAATGATTTAACCTTGATAAGAATTTCATATAACGATTACACCTCAGATATTCAACAAATTCTATTATTTCTCTCCTCCCCTCTCCCTTTTTTTACATTGCGCCAAACTAATTTCACTGTCAAAAGAAGGTAATGCTATTCCCCTAGTCTAGAAAACCTGTAGGTATTGACTTGCATTAACCACGGGCTTTTTGGCCAATCCCCCTTAGTGGGTGAGAGCCACAAAAGAAAGGATCAAGCAAGCAAGCAAAGGCTCTGAAAGGCCGCTCTTCAAGCTTACGCTGGGACTGTGCCGCACCTTCAGCGCAGGCCAGGCATTTTTTTATTGACTACCTCTCAGCAACGCGCATGCGCACTCCATGGGTGCGCCACCTTGAGTGCATCGACTGCAAGTTCGGCCTATTTGGGAGCCCTCTCAGCGCTAATTCACGCGCTGACCGGACAAAACGGGCAGGAGAACGAGTGCGAGAAGAGGGGTACCATTAGGTTCAGTGTGGCGCAAATGTCGATGCCAGCTGTCCACCAGTGTCACAAGTACAGTATCAGTATGGTGCACTTGTAAGAGAACTTTCTTGGGAGTAAATTACTCATTGAGGTGAGAACTGGAGCACTCCGTACATTTAAGCGCGCCGTGAACAGAACCATGCTTCGAGTGATGTGATCTGTCGTGTGTGTGGAGACAAAGCCGAAACAATTGATCATGTGGTCCTGTGATCCAAAAGTCGTGACTGGCGCTTCTCTAGAAGATGCCATGGTATTGGGACAGACTAGTGCAGATGGCGGCCAATGTGATGTAGATGAGTATGGCAGTGGCAGCGACGAAGGAACGTCTCGAGTGCTGGTGAGCGGTGGCACGGCGAGATCCTCTGACTGTTGGGTTGTCTTGGTGCTGTCTTCATACTTTTATCTTTTTTCGTTTTCTATCTCTCCTTTTGTTCCCCCTTTTTTGGTTTTCTTTTCACCTGTATTGTTTTAAATTCTTCCTACCTTTACTATTGCTGGTGGGCATTAGAGCGTCTTGAGGTCTAGGGAGTACTACGCCGACCCGATTAAAAGGGTTGGCCGCACCATCAACAACATCACCGTAGTGCCACTGAGAGTTGCTTTGGGGCACCTGGGCATTGTGGTCTAAAGGCAAAGGTACTCGGCCGTTGATCCGCAGGTCACGGGATCGAATACCGGCAGCGGAAGCTGCATTTTTGATGGAGGCGAAAGGCCCGCGTGTTTAGATTTTGGTGCACGTTAAAAAACCCCAGGTGTTCTAAATTTCTGGAAGTCTCCCCCATGGCATGTATATCATAATCATAAGGTGTATTTGAGACGCTAAAGCCCAACATCGATCGATCGATCGATCAATCAATCAATCAATCAATCAATCAATCAATCAATCAATCAATCAATCAATCAATCAATCAATCAATCAATCAAGAAGTCCATCAATTGTTGTTTTGGGAGGCAATGCAAATGGTTTGGGGCGACAGGCACATGGTATAAGTGGCGTATATGACAACGTCAACAGCACGTAAGCCAATCGAAAGGCGCTTCACGAGAATCAAGTTACTTCTGGAGAAATGTTGATGCTCATTTTAAATCTTCGAAAACGCGAGAAGAGGATATCTCAAGAAAGCCAGTATCGGTGCTGTTGCCATTTTTTGGGAATTTGTTTTTGTTCGAGTGTAGTTGCCCATGATAACATACTTCAGCACACCACCACAAACTTAGGTCAACAGCAGATCAACAGCAGGCGCAAGTGGGGTCTCGTATGCACCTTCTGGAAGAGTTATATGTATTTTCGAACTCGCGCATATGCTCTCAAAGGCAAATAATATTAGGTACACTGGCAGTGTTGTACTGAGTGCTCCATACTTTCTTGAGGTTTGTTCTCAACCACAGGGGAGTATAAAAGGTATACATTTAGGATTTTCACCTAAAGTTATTAGGCGCACGAGTCCTTGGTGCTTCTCTAATGTAACGTGGGTTTATAGACTGCTTCGTACTTTTTACACGAATTAAGCCACTGTATTGGCGCCTTGAATGTTCCTTGTGTTCAGATATACGAAACTGTGTTGCATCGTCAGGTGTCTTCTATTGTTTTGTCACTCTTCGTGCTTGCAGTGTTTGTCGCGGGATGGGGGTGCGGGCTCTTTAACAATGTCAAAAATCATTATAATAGAAAAAAACAAGCAAAGAAATGTAGCTTTGCGCTGAGCCATATCGACATTTACTTGGAACGCAGAACAACCGGAAGGTGCCGGCGATGACGACAAGGAGCCCGGGGAAACAGGGGCTTACATCGTCGTCCTCCGCAGCAAACTTGCATCGCACTCTATCGTACTTGCTGCCCAAGTGAAAGCGGTGGACCCGTCCGTTCAATGCGAGCCGGGATCCACAGCTGGCCTTGTGGAGTTCAAGCTGACTCAATGCAAACGCAATTCCTTGAGTGCAAAACAACAAGAAAGGTGCGTGCCAAACAAATCAAGTCAATGCATCTAGAATGACTGCCTTTGGTCGCCGAAGCACTAACGCAACAAACTTCTCAACAGGTCAAGCAGGGGTCTCAATCTCATCTGAGCTAATGGGCTCTCTCAAAAATTATATTCCTGCATGGGCCGAGCACTGAAGTTTGCATGTGGGGGGAAGGGGAATATGGAAGATGCACAAAGTGTCTTCTAAAACCTAAAGCTTTTGCAATATGGGTGGCATGACCGGGACAGAGGAACATAACAATGGGCACACACAAGCGCTCTTTATATAGTACGTACGTCCATGGGTTGGTGTACACATAGAAAATGTTCGGGTACTAACTTGCCATGCTTGCCGTTTCGAAGCACCCAAAGCTGCCATTTGGCAAGATTACGTTTCCCATATTTCCAGTCTCATACCTGAATCCTTTGTCAAGAAATGGTCGCGTCAGGATTGAAGAAACACATCGTAGTTGATCTTTACAATTACTCGGAACTCTACGCTGATTACGAAGTATGTAGATCTTGTTCCAGAGTAATGTTGCACATCATGGTGACGTCCAGAGCGCCCGTAAACGGGCTTGGTGGTCCCTACGTAGGACTAGCCGGGTGGCGCAGGGGTCTCTCCTGCGTCTTCTCTGGACCGCAATGAAGTTTTCATCGCTATCACCATCACCTCACGTTGTGGCTGAGAAAAAAAAAACATTCTGGACACTTGTCCATTCTCTTTAGCTTACCCAAACAAAACCTTAATTGTCACAACTTACAAATGAATATTGCGAGAACTATTTAGCAAAGTCACAAACACATTATTTCTTGTGAAGCCATGGGGCGCATGTGAAGCGTTTTCGGGTAACGTGTTGAAGACCCCCAATGTTCTAGGGCTTCTGCGTGGCAAACAAATCTTCTACCTCGGAGCTTCACTCGAGCTTGATGTTGCTTCGAAGAAAAAAGAAATGTGATTGTCATGTAGTCAAAGAAATCTCCTGAACGGATGTATTATTGCGTGGCAGAGGCGTACACTCTAAGAACTAAAAAAGGGCTGGGCACTCTCTCTTACAGAGTATTTTCTTGTCCCATATTGATCTCTTTTTTCCAGAGTAAGTCACGTTTTTTTTGTGAGCTTAAGTATATTGATTCCGCCAGAAAGGGTCAAAGCACTCCACTTCAATAGAGTAACATAACGCTGCCTAAAGCAGTGTGGCATGACCCTACCGAAAGGAGTATAGTAGTAGACCTAATGAAAGTAGCGGTACTTTGGCCAAATTTGTGCTTTATATATGATTCAATTAGTTCTATCTATCTATCTATCTATCTATCTATCTATCTATCTATCTATCTATCTATCTATCTATCTATCTATCTATCTATCTATCTATCTATCTATCTATCTATCTATCTATCTATCTATCTATCTATCTATCTATCTATCTATCTATCTATATATCTATATATCTATATATCTATATATCTATATATCTATATATCTATATATCTATATATCTATATATCTATTTATCTATTTATCTATTATCTATATATCTATATCTATCTATTTATCTATCTATTTATCTATCTATTTATCTATATATCTATCTATTTATCTATTTATCTATGTATGTATGTATGTATCTATCTGTCTGTTCTTCAATCTTTGCTATTTCATCTGTTCTCTTTCTTCACTCGTTTGCGGCGAGTGCTCCGTTTTCTATGTCTTTCTTTTCCTGCTATTTTTTCTTCTTACCTCATTTCCTCCGAGGAGCTCACCTATCTCGCCGTCAAGGCAGACAGGAATTTGCTCCGTTTTTTTTTGTTTTTTTTCTCTTTCATGCACCACTTTCTACTAATTTCCCCTCTGTGGTGGTCTAGTGCTAAGGTACTTGGCTACTGACCCGCAGGTCGCGGGATCAAATCCTGGCTGCGGCGGCTGCATTTCCGATTGAGGCGGAAATGTATTGTAGTTGGCCCGTGTGCTTAGATTTGGATTTACGTTAAAGAACCCCAGGTGGTCGAAATTTTCGGAGCTTTCCACTACGGCGTCTCTCATAATCATATGGTGGTTTTGAGACGATAAACCCCACATACCAATCAAAGAGTTTCTACTAATTTGGCTGCGGAGTACAAGCTAGCGTGGATTCCATATGGGAAAGACGCCGAGGAGTGTAAAAATGCGTGCACTCGTAGTACCGTGGAATATCGCGTTCCTTGATAGGCAAAGCATCCATGCAGGCCTACTTTACTTAGGCTGACGTCACCACGCCAGTGTATATGTGGGTGCCAGTGGCTCCGCATCGTCGCTTTAGAATCAACCCTTTCACGACTCTTTTAATTGAGACGAATATTGATATGACCTTTTGTTGATCCGCAACAATACGCTTGCATGAAGCTTTCTCGCTAATCAGAAAAGAAGTTACTGTGATATTAAATTTGCATCGAAATTTGCCTCTGCAGGCAGTTAATGCTGGCGTGGTGGGCCCAATGTCGCTTGGCTGGCATCTCGAGAGCGATGTGCGGCGTCAACAAGGGCAGTACTCTGTCCAGGACGAAATATATGGACGTCAACAAGATGCTAAAAATGGCTAAGGTAAGCCGTGCTTCTGTGAACTAAACTAGTGCATTGCTGCGCAACGAACACTGAAGACAGTGTAAAGTTCTTACTTGTAAGACCGAAACAACGGTATTCATGAAGACTGGTCTTGTTTATTGATCGGCAAAGTGATAATCACCAGACAATCAAAAGTAATCCGGCGTTCCCACAACGGCATGCGTAATAATCATATCGTGGTTTCAGCTCGCAGCGTCCATTGCTGAGTTCTTTTACTTCGGAGAGAAGTACGTGAAGTACGTTTTGCTTCAGAGAGAAGTACGTGAAGAATCTGTTTTAGGAGTTTAAAAAATTATGCATAAGCGTAGTGTTCGCGCGGAACTGCGTAATGTCGCGGCATCATCAGAATTAGCGCTTTTGGTTGGCATCGGCTTGGCGTCTTTTCAACTTGTCACTTTCGCGTCTTGTAGCGAAGTCTCAGTTTTCCTACACGGACAGTACTTTTGTTTCGGTCAGGCATAGTAATGCGTTGTCCGAATGCGCGTCCAGGGCTACTACCTATGATATTGTCTCGCACAGTTGAAAAGTAGACTTTAATACAAAAAAAATTGGCAGATCCCACGTGCAGTGGGAATCGATGATATGTGAAGCACGAATGAGAAATGTTGATATATCACTTTAAAATCAGCACAACATTACGAGGTAGACGCAAATGAGGCCGTACATGTTTTCAGTGTCATGATTATTATTTGTTTACCTTTGTCATGTATTCACGTTACGTGATACCAAATTTAGTATATGGGGAGCTAGCGAAATGGCCGCGAGCACGCTATGCACCTGGTATGTTGTCATGTTCTTACATGACACGCGTGTCAGGATTATCATGTTTGCATCAGTCATATACTTTTGTCATCCATTGACGTCACGTAACACCTAATTTGGTATATGTGGACCTAGCAAAACTGCCGCGAGCGCATCATGAAGTGCACAATATACTCCAATGTAGCGTTGACGCGCGCCCACGCTGGGCACAGCGACGCTACGTTAGAAACAATGGCAGCATATCCACGGAGTGAATGATGGGGAGTGGGGCAAGCATACGTCCGTCCATTCGTTCTTGCTTCCGTCCGTTCCTGCGTACGTCTGTGTAACCGTCCATGCGACCATCCACCCGTCCGTGCGAGCGTCTGTTCGTGCGTCCGTCCCTGCATTCGGCCATGCAGCCGCCCCTGCGTTCGTTCATGCGTCCATCCATGCATCTGTCTATGTGTCCGTTCGTCCATCTATTCAACACTCCAAGTACCACCATCTCGCATCTTTTCATCATATATTCCCCATACAGAAGCACCGCCATCCAGCGGACATTCCAAGGACTAAACGAGAAGTGGCACACGCACACTTTCTACAGCTTGCGCTTCGTGTCTACTTCCCACCTTTAACCACCTCGAGTTCATGGTATATACTAGTTCACTGTATTCATGGCTATGCGGCCCAACGCACGCTAAACCTTTGTAAAACCAAGAAGGTTACACCCAGCGAGTATAACGTAGCAACCCTTTCTTGTTAGATCGTGCTCAATGTACATGCCAATAGCTGCTAATGGGGATTGCAGCGTGCGCGTTACCTAAAGGCCGAATGCTCCTGTCTCTCATTCCCCCTTAGCAGCCATTAACATGTGCATTGAGCCCTATCTTTTATTGTTCAACAACGCACAGAAGAAATCTCTCACCGGAACCACCTTGGAGGTCAAAATCGTAAGGACCGCTATTTCGGGTATGTGCCACTGGTGGTTACGTACTACGAGGAACGCACAAGCCACGCCATCGCGACCACTTTATAGTCTGACGCCAGGCTGCTGCTGAAAAACATTTATTCACAGATGTTATTTACAGGGAGGGTAGGAACGGTCCTTAAAGGGCCGCCCCGTACAAACACTAGGTGAGCTCCCTCTTACGGGAGCCCATTGGCGTTAGCCGCGGCCCGGGCACGCTCGACCAGGGCCCGTTGGGCCGTCAGGTCACAGCAGCCGAGCAGGGCTGCCTCCCAGTCCTCCCGCGAAGGGTTGGGTAGTGGGGTAAGGTTTGGACGCCAGGCTCACTCCACTTTCGGCTTCGGTGGTAGACGGACGTGTTATGGCTCGCTCCGTGGGAGGTGCTTCGGCGGCCGCTGCTGGCCGCGGTGTTAGGTTCCCTTCTGCGCCATCGGATTACCGGTTTTTGTTGCCTACATTGCCGTCGGGTGATAGTATGGAAGAGTGTGTGTTTCTGCACGGGGATTTGGAAAAAAGACCATACTGGTTGGAAGACTTTCGGGCCCCGTTGGAAGAAGTGGGACTCATCAAGGCGATCACTGGCATTGGAGCCTTCCAGATGAATCACGTCTGGCTGGTGAAGATGCGAAGCGAAAATGACAAAGAGGCATTACTCAAAACAGGTAGACTCCGAGTCAAGGGTGGCTTCTGTGCTATCATCGACCCTATCCAACATGATGTAACCGTGAAAATCCACTGGGTTGACTTTGCGGTCTCGAATGAGAGCATTCGACAAGCGTTAGGTGAGTTTGGTGAAGTTCTGGAGGTTTCCAACGGCAACTGGACCGTCGCGGGCTTTGAACACGCGATATCGACGACGAGGGTGGTGCGACTGAAACTGAAGGAAGGTGTGGTGCTAGAAGACTTGCCGCACCTTTTTAAGATTGGAGGGAGCACCGTCCTTCTTGTGGCCCCGGGTCGGGCACCGCTTTGCCTAAGGTGTCACATGCAAGGACATATACGACGAGACTGCCAGACTCCCCGCCGTGGTGTATGCCGAGCGTTTAGACATGAAAGTCAAGATTGCGTCAGGAGTTATGCCAGAGTTACGAAGACCGTGCTGCCAACAGACGACGCCCAAGATAATCTAATGGACGCCGAAGAGGCTGAGAAGTTGGCCCCTGGCAGCAACGCCGTGGGACCCGACGCCATGGTTCAGGCAACTGGAGAAGAGACAGCCGACGCGACAGCGCAAGATGGCAAAGACTCAACGAAAGAATCCGAGGAGTTGGCCGCAAGAGGTGGCCAGCAGGACATTCAAGAATCGATGGAGAAAGACATGGGTACCAGTGGCGAGATCGCTACGTTAGAAGCCGGCACAAAGTCTCCGGAAGCGACCACGGGACGTGGCAAGCGTTACCGAGTGGAGAGCACGGAACGCAACCTGAAACGCCCGGAGCATCTGTGGCATCGCGTCACGGGCGCTAAGAGTAAAAAGATTGCCCGCAGCTTCCCTCGGGGGAACACTGAGGAGGATGCGGAGCATATAATTGGTTAACGGGGTGTTAAAGTGCGACTTACTTGGGTCGATGGCTAAATTGGTTAACGTGGTAGTGAAATTGGGTGTTAATTTGCGACTTACTTGGGTCGATGGCTAAATTGGTTAACGTGGTTGTAGGAGGGGGTCTTAAATGAGTGAACACGTACACATGTATGCGAAAGGGTGGTGCTGGTCGAAGGGACGTCGATCATTGTGTTTGTGGATTGGTTGGCATTCATTTCACCGCGACCTTGGACGTCGACGCGCCGTACAAACCAACCGACGAGCGGCAACTGAGCGAGCGAGCGCCGACCTTGAGTATATATACAGCGCGACGGCGCATGCACTGTCAGCTGTTGAATGTTCTCGAAGCGCGACGCGTCCACTGGAGAATCAGGAGAATTGTAGAATGTTCTCGAAGGGGAGAAGCGCGCGTGGCACAGATGGTGGGTGACGGTGCATGCGCGCGTCAGCTGTCGAATGTTCGAGAAGGGGGAGAAGCGCAACGGCGCATGCGCGCACGTCAGCTGCCGATGTTCTCGAAGCGCGACGGCGCATGCGCGCGCGTCAGCTGCCGATGTTCTCGAAGCGTGACGGCGCATGCGCGCTACATTATACACCTAGCGAATGTTCGTGAAGAGGAGAAGCGCACGCGGTGTGTAGAGGAGGAAGGGATGCACAGATGGTGGAAGGAGGAGGAGGAAGCTTGCGGACGGCGCCGCACTACAAGCCTCGAGTATTAGATGCTCCGCATCTAAAAATATGCCCTCGAAACCCGGTCGGCGTCATCGTCGCCGGTTCGCGGACAGGATCTAGACGCGTAATACCCCGGTTTTTCCACTGCACGGTATACGAGACACGGTAAGCGCAGCATTGTAGTTTTCATCTTTGTCATCAACATGGCTAGCATGACTGCGCCTTTACGCATTGGTACGCTGAATGTACGTGGTCTAGGAACGCGTCGCAAACAGTACCAGTTGAAACGCTTGATGCAAGAAAAAGACCTTGACTTGCTCGCGGTCCAGGAGACTAAAGTTAGTACTGAGGACGCGACTGATAGCTTGGTAGCAGAATTTTAATTGCGGTACAATGTGTGTGTGAGCTATGCAGTGGGAGCATCAGCCGGATGTATTATTTTTGTCAAGAACTCTCTTGGTATTGTAGTGGAAGAGGTCAAAAGTTGCCTACATGGGCGTTTTGTTTTGTGTGACTTTTGTTACGGGAACACTCAATTTAGAGTTATCTGTGTATACGCACTTACAAATTCGAGAGACAGATGTTTGTTTTTTCGGGAAATGCAAGCGTACTTTGAATGTCAAAAATGTGTGATTCTGTTGGGTGACTTCAATTGTGTTTTGACCCAAGAAGATTGCACGTATACTGCTAAATTAGGTGATGAAAGCGTTGGTTTGCTTAGAGACAGCCTTAATAAGTACTTTTTACATGACGTAGCTCTGTTTGCGATGGGTGGCAGTCGCCAACACTTCACACATTTTCAAGGTTCGAGTCACCCACGACTAGATTGAGCATATGTTTGTTCTGAGATAGTACCTTTATGTCAGAACTATGACGTTTATGCTGTTTCCTTCAGTGATCATTGCTTAGTTTGGTTTGAGATAGGTAGAAAGTGCAAAAAGAAGGTTGTATGGGAAACATGGAAACTGAATACTAAGATAATTACGCACGAAGGGTTTGGATAAGACAAAGAAGGAAATCGAGAATTTTTTCAAAAACGCAGAAAGAAGTGCC